AATCTTATCCACAGAGTCACAATCATCAAAGGTGACAAAAGCAAAACCCCTCTTCTTGCCACTGCCATGGTCAGTCATGATTTCAATCACTTCAATTATCTCATACTATTCAAAATAATCTCTTAGGTGATGTTCTTCAGTATCTTAATTAATGCCACCAACAAAAGTCTTTTTCACAGGTAAGTTGGCACCTGTCTTTGATAATCTTCTCTTGAGACAGCCCTCTTTTAGTTTCACAGCTCTTCTACACACCTTGTGTGGCCTTGCATTCATCGCTACACCCACCTCCTCCACAGTGGCATACATGACAAACCCAAAGCTCCTAGAGTGCTTTGTTTTGGGATCTCACATTACTGCAGACTGCAAGCATACCCCATTGTTCAAAATGGCTCCCCAGGCTCTCATTGGTAGTTTCAAAGTTCAACCCTCCAATGAAGAGCTTCCACAGCTGTTTGAGCTCTTTAGGAGACTCCAATTTAGACATAACAGCAGTGAGAAGAAAGACTTCAATGATGCTTTCCCAGTGGTGTCCACAGGCAGAAAGCATTTATTTTAAAAATTTTAATTAATATAATGTTACATATTTGCGGGGATACAATGAAATTTTTCAACACGAGATTACAATGTGGAGTGACAAGATCAGGGTGATTAGTATAGCCTCCATCTTAACCATGTATCATCAATTTGAATTGGGAACATTTAAGAACTTCTTTTTTACTTACTCTGAGATATTTAGTAAGTCATTGTTAAACTACATTTTCCCCACTGACTTTTGTAATGCTAGAAGTTGTTCCTCTTATCGAGCTGACATTCAGTTTTCATTAAGCCACATCCCTCTAGTCTGCCTTCATCCCACTCCCATCCTTCCCAGCCTGAAGCAGTGATTCCTCACTTCCCTCCTTCTAGAAGGTCACTTTATTTTGATTTCTGTACATAAGGGAGACCAGGGAGTACTTTTTTTTCTATGAGGCAGACTTTGTTTCTCTCATTTTATTGTCACAGCTTACACTGTGATTTTCACCCTGAGGTTTTTCTCCAGAATGCCTGGGAAAGGGCAAGGGATGAGGTAAGGGAGGAGAGCCCATACAAATGTAAGCTCTGATAACCCAGAGTTTCTAAAGTGACGCTAACACGAATTATGAATCATAAGAAATCTTCAAAGGAAGATAACTTGTTATCTAGACCACTGGCATCTGATCAGATGCAGTATCTTTTTAGTTGTTTAATCTGGCCTGAGGTCATCCACCTCATCCACGATGACAAACCCAAAGTCCCTGGAGCGCTTGATTTTTGGACCTTGCCTTACCACGCAATCCATGCATGTTCCCCATTGCTCAAAATGGATCTCTAGGCTCTCATTGGTAATTTCAAAGCTCAACCCTCCTATGAAGGGATTCTGCAGTTGTTCGTGTTCTTTAGGAGACTCTGATTTAGACATGATAGCAGTGGGGAAAAAGTGGGCTAGGAAGAAGGAGAACAAAAGAAAGTGAGAAAGCACCCCAGGAGGAATGTCCACAATGCAATCTCTTCTCCATTTCTCTCTCCTTTCAGGACTTTGGGCTTGCACGCACATGTATAGGCATGTTTCTCAAGTTGACAATTCCAGGGCTTAAGATTCAGAGCTGGTCATGTGGGATCAAGTCACCTTAACCGCATCATGGGCTGGCCTCTAGATTTCAATACTGAAGAAATCAAAGTCTTCCTCAAAATGCCTACCAGTTCTGGTCTGTGTCCCTTCTCCTTCCTTGGTCAGAGAGGAGTTTTTAACAGGTACTGCTGAAGGTCTTTGCTTTTAGACCATAGCTTCCTTGTCACTGGTATGTTCATTGTACCTTACCATTTTATATAGACAAAAAGCCTAAGAGGCTAAATGAGCTAAAGTTCCTAGAGCAAAATCTAACACTTGGTCAAGGAGCAAGAAAGTTTTATTCTTTTTTCCTGTCTTGTTCTCTTAAGCACTTGGGGTAGAAAAGAAGAAAAAATACTGGACTAGAGATGAAAAGAAAAAAAAAAAAAAGGAAATGCAACAAAATCATTAGATAGCTTGAATCCTCCCTTTAATTTCTTGTGGCCTTGAGTCTGATATAAACCAAACTGAAATATACAAAAGCATATTATGCTTAGTTCCTTTCTTCCCGAATTTAGGAAAAGCTTTGAATAATGAAGTTATTCTTTATTTTAAATTGTAGTCATTATATTGGACCTCTAACAAAAACAAGGAACTAGATACTAAGTGTTACAAATGTTATAAAAAATGCATAATTATATTTTAAGTGTACAAAATCTTATAACAAGTAATTTATGTGAACCAACTATTTTACTCTTTCCATGAAATTGAAAATAGAGAGACTATGTGTAGAGGCTATCTGGACACATGATTCCAGAACCATCTTCTGTAATAACTTACTGCCTGATCTTTCACAGCTTACTTTGTGTCCTAGACCTCATTCTCTTCAAATGCAAAATGAAGAGACTAATATTTTCTCTATATACTTTACTGATAAGTTGAAGGCAACTAGTAGATCAAAGAGAGGCTTAGGAGAAATTAGAAGAGGGGTAGAAATGAGATTAAAATAGCATTCATTATATACAAGGACACTGGGGGAGGGGTAATTTATTTCAAGCAGCTTTCAAATACATAATTCACACTCTTCCAGGAAGTAACTATAAATGATTCTGAGCAATTTTTCTTGAATTAGACACAAGCTTTGTGTCTAGAACTGTGCTAGACATTATGCTAAAAATGTACAGAAGACATTTCTTTGAGTGTGTGATTATAGATGTGTGGATTTGTTGTGGTATCAAGAGTTGAAACCTGGTGGAGAATTAGTATCCAGTGAGTCAGAGAATGACAGAGAGCGAATGTTAAATCCAAGTAATGAATACATATGTCACACACTATCCTAATGCCTGAGAGTACGAAGTATGTTGAAGGTCCCAGGTGCATTGCTTGGAGGGGCACAGGAATAGTACATGACTAAGGCTATGGCGTATTACAGTGAAAGGATATAAAACTAAACTAGCAAAAGGAAAAAAGCTCCTGGGGAATAATCTGAAAGAAACCAGGTATATAGTTCCAAGAATCTTCTCCCAGTGGAATCACTGAGGGTGCCCTTAATTTCCCTGGCAACAAGATGTGGCAACATGTATAAAATGGTGTCTAGCAGGGAAGTTCATTGGAGACTCAATGCCCAAAGTTTTATGTTGGAGTCTGGTCATGTGATCACACTTGCCTAGCTCATACCAAAATTCTAGGCTCTCAGAGGGAATGCAGATATTCTACATAAGCCATGTTGTTTATGCAGTTTAAACAAGATCAGCCATTCTTATCAGAGAATGGTAGGAATCCTACTAAAATCCAGGTTCCCAGATGCCTCCCAAAGTCCAACCTTGCAAGCAGGCTTTTCAAAGAATAACAATCTCAGGCCTGCTACATTAACTCTTTTTATGCACACAGAGTTACAAATAAGTAATTGCAATATAGCTGGATAAATGCAATGATTAACTCATTTGACTAAGGTTTATTGACCCTCTAGAGGGTTAGACAGCAATGAGTTAAATTAGATATGGTGTTGTACTTTGTTAGAATTCACTCAGCACCTCAATAGCTCTCTCCCCACCCACACACAAGGCACCTTGCAGAAAGCTCTGCAGCTATACTCCAAATTCCTCTTCCCAGCCTCCACCTGTAACCTCCTGCATGTCCAGGAGTTCTGTGTTCTGTTAGGTAATTTTTTTCTCTTAGCCCTTTAGTAAGTATTATGGGCCACTTCTCTGTTTGATTTGAACTCTGGTTGGCTCTGCTTGGTTCTGGTTTCCCTCAGTCCAGTTCTGATCCACCCCATCCCAGCCAGACCTTCTACCACCACATTTCACCTGGGCTTTTTGCCCCCCTTGTCCATTAGAGGAACTCCTCTTTTTCTGGTGGAAACTCTGGTTCCTGGAGCCTAAACCCTTCCCTCAATCAATGACTTACAAGCCATTTAGTTTCTTCCTACAGTCTGGTTAATATTCACACACCAACCACTGCCCAGGAGCTGATTAGAGCTTGTACTTCAGATTTCTCAACTTTCCTTCTGGAATCTTCTTATGTAGGAGGCCAGTGTGTTGTGACTGACTACAACCAGTGCCTTCAGCATCTCTTCTCTCTTATTCCCATTGCCCTCACTCTGACTGCAGAAATTTACTAGTGATCCTCAAGCTGCCCACTTTCCCTTTTCAAAGGAGGTTGTACCAGAAGTACCAAGTTCGAGGTTTACAGAGCTAAGATTATGGATGAGAATGAATGGAAGCATTCATTGTTTCCTTGGACTCAAAATGAGCAAAGATCACAAAGAAGTAGATGGTGATATTTGAGCCTCTTAATAATATTAAGAAACATATTCAACAACCCAGTCAAGGAAACATCTTTTTGCGTATCATCCCCAGCCTCAGGCAATTCAGACATCCAAGTACACAGGAACTACCAGATATTAGTATCAATTCAGCCCACTTTTTCCATGTGGTGATTCAAATGACAAGTACAAGGAAAGCTGGTGAGGCAGTTAGGAGCAGGTGCTTAGCCATGTGCATGCCATGAAATGTGTACATTGATACGTAAGGGCAGGATCAGACTTACGTTTTAGAAAGTCCCCAGGCAGATGGAAGAAGACAACACAGAAAATGAATCTGGGAGCAACAGACAATTAGAAGTTATTTTTGTAATAATCTTCCTAAGAGCCTCAATTATAACCAAGGCAATGCACATAGAATGTAGAGGGCAGAAATGAAGGATATTTATAAGACCAAATAATCAGGACTTGGGAATGGGGTGGAGGAGTGAGGAGTGGGATATGACTCCCTGCCTTTTAGCTTAAGAATCAGCATGTTTGTCAATATTCCATTAAGATAAAGAATGCAGGATGGTCAATATTGAATCTAAACAACTTTTCACTGTAGTTTCCTCTTCACCCTCTCCTCTACATCTGAAGTGTTCTTACTAAATTTTGTTTCCTTTAAAGGTTCAGAAATGCCCTTGGTGTGTTTGACAGACTTTCGGGCACAGGCTCAGGAGCGGCTGTCTAAGTCAACTTGGGATTATATTGAAGGAGGGGCTGATGAAGGCTTAACACGGGACGACAACATCACAGCATTTAAAAAGTTTGGTCTTCTATATCCTTTCCATTGGTAAACTAAGGTGCAATTGGTTGAGAGCTCCTTAGATAGCAGTAGTCCTTGTTTCTACCTCCAGAGAAGACAGAATACTCAATGTATAATCATATGTTGGTGTTTTGCTTTGTTTTGGGAGAAGAAGTGGGCAGGGTGTTGGAGAGAAGATGAATGGAGAAGGAATTGATCTTAGAATTATGACAAGTAAATCATCATTGTCTGTGTCTTAGCAACTTTGCAACTTATCAAGATAGGACAAGAGTCCAGGGTAATAAATCACCTGGACAGAGAGAAGCTTAGATCTCCTGAGGTCCTAAACTTACAACTTAGAGGAGAAAATGAAAGGAGAGAGAACTCAGGCTTGGAGAAAATATGAAGATCTGAGTGAGGAGTCTTGAGGATGATAGGACCTTGATTCAATGAAAAAGAGTTAGATGGAAAAACTAGGGGATAGACACGAGCCAACCAACAGCAGCCCACGAGGCCACGCCTGGCTCACCACCTGTTTTCATATGGTCCACACACTAAGGATGCTTTTTCACTTCTAAATAATTGGGGGGAAAGTCAGAAAAAGTAAATTTTGTGACACCTAAAAATTATATGAAACCCTGGGCCAACAGGTGGCATAGTGATTAAGGTGTTGAATCCCACATGGCTGTGTGAGTCCCAGATCCAGTGACTTAAAAAAAATGCTGTGTGTGTGCCCAAAATCCTAAAAGGAGAATGGAAGAGAAGGGTCTCCAGCGTGGCCTTCACCCCTCACATCCCCCCTCACACACACCCCCCTCTGGTGAACACACATACCCTATAGCAAAACTACAAAAGGAAAAATATATATATACAAAATTCAAATTTCAGCATCCACAAATAAAGCTTTATGGGAACACAGCCATGCTTAGTCCTTTACTATAATACTACCTATGGTTGCTTTTGGGCTACAATAGTAGAGTTGAATGATTGTGGCAAAGACCTAATGGCCCACAAAGCCTACAGATGGCCTGCAAATCTGCAGGATTCACTATTTGGTTCATTATAGAAAAAGTCTGCTGACCCCCTGTGATAGTTAAGAGAAAACTGAAAAGTGGAATACACAGTAGGCACTCTATTCTGGATTCTCATAATTAGCACCATACTTGGCACTTTATCCACTTTATCTCATTTTGTCTTCACAAAACTTTGGAGAAATTAGGATGATTACTCCTAGTTCACAGATAAGTAACTGAGGCTATGTTTTCTAATCTGTTCTGTTGTTAATAACTGAAGATACCTAAAACTGAGTTTTTATTTAAAAAAAAAAAAAAAAAACTGCTTACTTTAGCCCATGGTTTGGAGGACCAAAGCCCAGGGGCCCCTTCTGGGGATCTTCTGGTTGCATCACAAGGCAAAGGGCAGGAGAGCATGCTCTGTGTTCATGTGGCTCTCTTCTTAAAGCCCCCTAGGAGTCAATAACACCCTACTTTATGCACTTAATCCCTTTCAAAGGTCACATCTTTAGCCATCTTGAAGGCAAGAAGTTTCCTCCTAAGACCTTCACCCTTAAACTACAACACATGACTATAGGGGAAACAGAAACCACAGCACTCTCTTACTCAAGTGTGTACAGTCAGTGTTTCCAGGAAAATGTTTCTGCTTTTGTGTACAGAAATAACATTCTGTGAAAAACAAAAATGTTTGGGGAACCAGCAGTTAGCGTAATGGCTATGTCGCTGGACTCCCACGTAGTCGACCACGGTTCGCGTCCCAGACCCGGTGGCTTAAAACTCACGCCAGGCTTGTGTGCGTGCGTGCCCAAGATCCCGAGAGGAGAATGGAGGAGAAGGGATTGCAGCGTGACCATCCCCCCTGAGGGGTGATTTCTCGCTTTCTGTCTCTATGTCTCTCTCTGTCTGTCTGACGAGCACACGCGCCCTATAGCAAAAACCTCTCCAAAAAAAAAAGTTTGGACTTTGAGGTTAAGTATTTGTCTTAAATGTGTGCTATCTATCGTCATAGAATTTATGAAGTCTCCACCTTCTTTTTTTTTTTTTTTTGTGAGAGGTTTTTGCTATAGGGCGCGTGCGCTCGCCAGACAGACAGAGACAGAGAGATAGAAAGCAGGAAATCACCCCCCAGGGGGGATGGCCACGCCGCAATCCCTTCTCCTCCATTCTCCTCTTGGGATCTTGGGCACGTACGCACACACGCCCGGTGTGAGTTTAAGCCACCGGGTCCGGGACTGGAACCGCGGACGACTACGTGGGAGTCCAGCGACATAGCCATTACGCTAACTGCTGGTCCCTCCACCTTCTTTTAAAACAGTATTTAAGTCAAATTTTCACATTAATTGACCTCTAGTAAATAAAGCCATGCTCATCCTCTGGAATTTGTTCTTTCAGTGGCCTTTTCTGAGTTTCCAGAGACTCGTTTCTAACCCGAGAGGGAAAGTGACTGGAACTCCTTCCCACCTATTCATTTCCATTCTAGGTCTTGTTAGGATAAATCGCTCAGACCCTCCAAGCACTAAGAGTCTAGTCAGTGAGACATGGCTCAAAGACCCAGACCCCTGCCAGAGCAAGGCAGGGAATGGTGTGGCCCTTACACACACTCACAATCAGAGGAGACTGGGCTAATGTGGAACAGGTGCTGGGAAAGGCCTCCTGGAGGTAAGCCTCCTATGCCACTTCCTCAGCTTTCAGCCAGCCAAACCCCCCAAGGTTTTCACAAGACCTACTCTCATGTAGACCTACGCCAGAGGTCAGGGTCTCAGCTTAATACTTGCATCCTGGAGACTAATCCCACCTGTCAGAAATCTCTTTGTTGTCACGCACAGAATTCGCCTGCGTCCACGGTACCTGAGAGATGTGTCTGAGGTGGACACCCGGACCACAATCCAAGGGGCTGAGATCAGTGCCCCCATTTGCATTGCACCCTCAGGTTTCCACTGTGTCGCCTGGCCAGATGGAGAAATGAGCACAGCCAGAGGTATGAACCAACCCCTTCTGGACACTCCCTTTCTGTCCAAACTTGTGCAGGAGGCCTCCCTCAGAGAGGGGCAGCGAGCACCAGTATAGGAAGAGCATTCCAGCTGAACTTAAGGAAGTTGGGAAAGAGAATGCTTAAAGATAAGTATGTATTACATTTTATGGAAGATTGAGAAAGCATTTTTCATAACACAGGATAGTTCAAGTGGGTCATGGGTTACTGATGAATAGTAGGGTGCTAAAACCCCACCAAGTCATTCCTTGGAAGAGGCATTCTAGCTCCTCTGGCTCATACCATCTGTGGAGATGCTCGATACGGTCCCAAGAGCTAGCTCTCTATGGCCTCTTACAGGCCAGGGCTGGGCTGAATGACTAGTCTGTGAATTTAGATAAGAAGAGAATCACGACATTAGGTCTTCACATAAGACCCTGGCTGTTGCTTTTGCCCAACTATTTTATTTCCCTTTTTTTCTTTTTACCTTATCATCTTATTTGACAAAAAGTCTCTCGTATGGTATATCTCCCTCTTAGTAAATTCCTCTTTCCTATCCCACCCTCCCATTCTTCTCCACCAAAAGCAGTAACTGTAATAATAAGAAGGACAGGGCCTGGTGATTAAGGTGAGTGGATCCCATATGGCCAAGCACATAACTCAAGCCCCAGGCCCAATGGCTTAAGAAACATGCTGGGCATGTGTGCATATGTTCCAAAAATCTTGAAATGAGAGAAAAATGGAGGAGAAGGGATTGTGGTGTGACTATGCCCCCTGGGAGGTAAGTACATCTCACTTTTTCACCTCTCAGTCTCTCTCTCTCTCTGTGTCTCTCTTCAGCAGGCCACATGCCCTCTGGCAAAAATGTACAAAAATTTTAAAAATAAAAATAAAGAGGAGAAGGAGGAAAAGAGGAAAGAGTAGAGGTAGGGAGAAGAAGAGTATGAAAAGGGCAAGCCTGAAAACTCTCATGACTCCTTTATAATCTTTACTCTCTGCCAAATCTGTTTTTGATGAGTTGCTTAGGACTTCCCTAGGGTCTTTCCCTTCCCTTTGACTCTGTGATGCAGGAAACAATGAATCTAAGGATGTTAAATATAAAAGGGGGTGCATTGTGTGCACATACCCAAAATCCAAGAGGAGAATGGAGGTGAAGGGAGGGTGACGTGGTCATCCCCCCAGGGGATGAATTCTTGCGTTCTCTCTCTGTCTCTCTGGCAAGTGCACCTGCCTTATAGAAAAATCTCTCAAAAAAAAAAAAAAAACATTCAGTTTGATGGGGTTAGGAACCAGGTTTAGTTAGGTTGAAACATGCATATCCTATATGAATATGACTAGTTTATTAAATCTTTATAGTTTTTTTAACTTTAAACAAAAGAACAACGGTGTTCCCTTATCATCCATTCTACATACCACCTCTTGATTCCACCCATTGTCTACCCCAAATTCAATATTCTAATTGTGTATCCAGGTCATTACTGAATGCAGCTTTCTAGGTCCTTTAATTTGCTGTGTATATACTCTACACTGAATGTGGTTCATTGCAAAAACAATCTCTTCAAGAAATCGTCTTGACAAAATACCAGATTCCTTACTAACAAGAAAAGGGGATCAAGCTTAACAGGCCAAAATAGAAGACAACTCTGTCCGAACACATTTGGATGGCACAAAACAGCTCTGATCTCAGGCCCTCTGTGCTGAACAAGAGTCACGTGTAAAACCCCAAGGCATAAGAACTGCAAGTATTCCAGTCCAGAGGGAAATAAGAATGCTTCTTTCCCATTTAGTCATCCTCTGAGGTCTCAGCAGACCTTTCATCTGTAGCTACTTTCCAATTTGTGTGTTTATTTGTCCTCTCCTGTATTTCATTATTGGCTATAAGGATATGAACTTTTTTCTCTTTCTTTTTCCTTTTGGTTTTCTTAGTGTCTCTTTCTTCACTTTCTTCAGAACTGCTGGACTCTGAATCATCTGATTGGGAACTGTCACTTTCTGTCTAAGAATAAAGCAGGGTTTTGGTTTTTTTTTTTTCTTTTTTTTGGAGAGGTTTTTGCTATAAGGTGCATGCGCTCGCCAGAAAGAAAGAGACAGAAAGCGAAAAATCACCCCCCAGGGGGAATGGCCACACCGCAATTCTTTCTCCTCCATTCTCCTCTCGGGATCTTGGGCATGCGCACACACATGCCCAGCATGAGTTTAAGCTGCTGGGTCCGGGACTCAAACCGTGGTCGACTACATGGGAGTCCAATGACATAGCCATTATGCTAACTCCTGGTCCCAATCAAGCAGATTTTTTGAGAGATTTTCCTGGATTTTTTCTTGTGCTTATGTTCTTTCTTTTTCCTGGTACTAGAAGTTCCAGTTTCTTCTGAGAATTCACTTGAAGGATCTGCTGTTACACCTGTCTATGGCTTTTTTTTTTTTTTTTTTTTTGTGTGTGTGTGTGTGTGTGTGTGTGTGTGTGTGTGTGTGTGTGTGTGTGTGTGTGTGTGTGTGTGTGTGTGTGTGTGTGTGTGTGTGTGAGACTTTTATTCTTCCTTTTGTTTTGTGTGTGTGTGGGAATTCATTGACTTCTTGTGTTTGCGAGGTTCAAGGGTAGATGATTTTACCTGGGGAGATTTTTTTTCCCATTGGTAAGATCTTGCTGATCACTACTGTCTGTTTCAAATTCTTCTGGGTATAACTCTTTATAACCACTGTGACCCCATCTGTCTGGCATGTTAGCTTCATAATCATATAACTTCTTGTTCCAAGATTTAGCCTTTAGAAAATCATCTTCCAATGTCCCAGAAATTTCATTCTTCGGCCTCTAATAGCCTCTTTGACTTTCTTCATCAAAACCGTCACTACGCATCCGGCTTGAACTGCTAGGTAACATTTCCCTTTCGGTCCTCCAGTAAGTGTCTTCCATCTGTTTCTCCAGTTCTCTTATTCTCCACATGTCTGATTCCTCCTGAATCTTATTGTGAACATCTGTGTGCCAAATGACATTTCTCCGGAGAACTTTCCCCAGTGGAACCCGGGATATTCTTCAATCGTGTGCCACAGCCCCACGTGGCAGTGGTGGGGGAAAGGAACCAGTCTTAAATCTTTATAGTTAATGTGATGTTGTGGGCTGGAGTAAAATATTGGAGTATCTTTTGTGACATGAGTTTTTGAAAAAAAATTATTTTTTATTAGACCGAATTCCCTGTCCATGGATTGTAGAATGGTAGTGACATTCACCTGTTGGAGAATCCCACTGAGATGAATAAAGAGGAAATGAGAAATACAGAGTTCATCAGCCATAGCAGTGTCAGCATCAACACCACCATCAATCATCATCAGTCTCATTATCACTAGCATTTGTACAGGACGGCACTTTAAAATTTTAAAAATGCTTTCATTCTAGTATCTTATTTAATCTTCCAATAACCCTGAAAATGAGTGGTATTTAATAGACAAAAACAAACAAACAAGGCTCAAGGTCCCACTGCAAAGAAGTAGTAAAACTATCACCCTTCTAATTCAGATATCACACTTTGCCACTACAAAGTTTAGGCTTCTCCACTGGAGACCCTTCATCCTGTGCACTCTCTAATTCCCTTCTTCTCCATGAAGGAGTTTACAAGAAGCCCACTTTCTCCTCTGAAGGCTTTAAGCCACACAATATAGTTCTGGGAATTATTGGGTCATTGGAAAAGTCCTACATATTTTTCTGTTTTTCTATGCAAATAGGTGTCATGACTTTTCCGACGGTCCAATAAATGACATCATTAGCTGGAAATATTTTATTATGGAATACAAGATTTGTGAATCAGGTAACATCAGAAGAGAATGCAAACAGCTTTAGATCTTCTCCTACAGGGAAGCCAAAGGAAGTGAAGATTTACCTTCAGTCATAAGATAAGCTGGCCAGAGGCATCAGAGCCTCCTAGGACTTCTCTCCCCAGTCCAGAATGCTTCCATCCTCCAACTTGAGCTGTGTCCTTTGCTTTGCAGCTGCCCAAGCAGCTGGCATCTGCTACATCACCAGCACGTATGCCAGTTGTAGCCTTGAAGACATTGTTTCAACTGCTCCCAGTGGTCTTCGATGGTTTCAGCTCTATGTTCAGCCAGACCGGCAGCTAAACAAACAGCTGATCCAGAGGGTAGAATCCCTGGGATTCAAAGCCTTGGTAATCACTGTGGATGTACCCACAGTTGGCAATAGGCGACATGACATAAGAAATCAATTGGATTTGAAGATGAACTTAATGCTGAAGGATCTTCGAGCACCTGAAGAGGTACGAAAGATGCCAGATTCAATGAACAAGTATTACAGGAGGAAAACTTCCTTCCCTCTTTTTTCTTCCCCTCTTGGTTTGCACAAATATTTATTGGGTACATATTCTGTGCCAGGCAATGGAGATTCAGTAGTTCAAGGAAAGTTCTGGCTGCTGCTCCTCAGAGCTTTCAAATAAGCAAAACATGAGACCAAATGTTCTCAGCCTTAGAACTGTCCAGAAGTGTTCTGGCCAGGACTAGATGCTAAGAAATAGAGAAACCATGAGAAGGGTTTTGTCATGGAATAGGTAAACTGAAGAAGTTAATCCAACATTTCGCTTTATGGAACACTTAGAAAATGGGGCTAGGAGGTGACATGGTGGTTAAGGTACTAGACTCCCATGTGGCCGACCTCAGTTTAAATCCCAGACCTAGCAGCTTGCTTTCTCATGTTCTCTCTCTCTCTTTCTGGTGAGTGTGCATGCCCTATATCAAATTTAAAATAATAATAATAAATAAAATTAAATAATATTTTAAAAGAAAATGGTCATTTTGTATGGCCTACATAAATAAACTTACTCTCTGAAGAGGATGCTCACAACAAACTGGACCGGCCAGCCAGTCTAGCCAGCTCAGGCCCTACCATACTGCCTTGATACCTGAGAAGTCAGTACCTCTGCACACCAAGAACTCACCCACGGAGTGTTATGGCACTGTACACCTGTTTGGAATCTCTGAACTCAGTGACTACAAAGGGCACTTTTCCACTCCCAATTTAAACATTTTACTTTCTTTTGAGTTGTTGATAGGTTCAGAAATTTGTTAAAATATTTTTTTGTTTGTTTCTTTAAGCGGAAATATGAACTATTCTTCCTTCCTGACCCCTCTTGAATTGGAAATATTTGGGAGTATTATTTTGTGGTAGAAGGGTTATTTGCATAAGTTCAATAATGCTTGTTGCATTGAATCAGAATTGGAAATACTCACTATTGGACAGGGCTTTGACTGGAATATCATATCTGAAGATTAATCAGGAAACTATGGAACTAAGGTGGATCTCAAGTAAGCCAACAGAAGCTCTTAGAAAGATGGCCTGGCACCATAAATAGTTCTGCCTGGCAGAGAGGATTAGAGAAAATATATGAAAGAATTTATAACATAAAATAACCTGGACTTTTCCAGCCAGCACTGTAATCAGTAGAGATTGCAAAAGAGCAACCACACCAGAGGATTATCTTGAGAAAGACTTTGAAGGAAGAAAAAGAGACTGATCTTTGCCTCCAGCTGGTATATCACAGAATACTTGGTAGACAGGACTGAATTGAGAAGGTTTATGTGTGACTAGTGTGCTGGGCATTTGCTTTTCAACAATTCGAATAGTTGACATGTGAATATTTACTCAAAAATATTTAAAACCATACTGTTCCCGCTGTTATAGAGTCACAAACAAAATTATAAGAAATATTTTGAACATTATCTTTAAAATTCAGTATTTTGAAAGCTGTTTATTTACTGTCAAGAACTATGGAGTATAAGCCAAAAAAAAAAATTATGTGTAAAGTAAATGTTTGTGGAAAAATGTAAAAATAAATAAATAAATTTTTAAAAAATTCCTACAATTGAATGGAAGGGAGGATCCCAGAGAGAAAATGTCATGGTAAGGTTGGACTCTCCTGACTGTCATAGAGATAGTAATGCCAACATTATCAGCCAATAAGAACTGTGATACCCAGCCAGGTAAGAGCATTCTGCTCGTTAACCACAAATTGGCCTTGAGATCCTCTGAAATCCTTATCATCTTATCACTTATCATTCCAGAGGCACACTGGGATTTATGTTAGATACACATTGCAAACCAAGGACAAATAGTGGGTTATATTCGGTTTAGCATTATTGAATTATTGCTTAGTCCCTACTCCCTTGTGTATGTCTTAGCCTTAATATAGCATGTTGATCTATAAATGCTTTGCTCAGCTATCTCACATAATAAGCTCTGAATTCTTTAGAGACTGTCTCTTATTTGTTTTTGTGTTCTCAGATCCTAGAATAAATAAGATTAATAATTAGTTAATGAGCAATTAAATAGGAAATCCTTTATACAAATTTCATTAGAAAAGGAGCTAGAAGCAGTGTTGGACTTCATTGCTCCTCTTTTCAAGTTTGTAAATGGCAGCTCTCCAAATAGGTCATCTTTGGAACGGGTCAAGCACTCTTGTAGGAGTTCCGTACTCAGATTTCCTTTTTATTCTCCCACAGAAAAATTCAATACCTTATTTACAAGTATCCTCTATCTCCAAATCTCTCTGCTGGAATGATCTCTCCTGGTTTCAGGGCATAACTCGATTGCCCATCATCCTTAAAGGAATTTTGACAAAAGAAGATGCAGAGTTAGCTGTGAAGCACAATGTCCAAGGCATCATTGTTTCCAACCATGGTGGGAGGCAGCTCGATGAGGTCCCCGCTACAGTAAGTAGGATGACTTCAGAGGGATATGTGTGTGTCCACATCAAGATACTCTGTGCCAGGGCCGGCAGGTGGTGTGGTGGTTAAGGGTGCTGGACTCCCACTTGAACTATGGTTCAAGTCCCAGGCCTCGTGGCTTTCTCCCTCTCTCTCTCTCTCTCATCAAATTAAAATAAATGAATAAATAAATAAAATTAAATACATAATTTTTTGAATAAAAGATACTCTGTGCAGTCTGGTACACATTCTCCCACCCTTACCACATGTGTTGGTATGTATCGGTGAACTGTAAGGAGTTACAGTCATCAATAACAGCCTAGCGTGTGCCAGGCTGTTTTCACAAACTTTACATATTACACATCATCTCTAAGACACACAACAGTGCTGCAAGATGAATGTTTCTATCCCTCACTTGCAGACAGCAATATACAGTTTAGAGATGTTAACTAACTTGCCCATTTTCTTTTCTTTCTTTCTTTCTTTTTCTTTTTTTCTTTTTTTTTTTCTTTTTTTTTTTTTTTTTTTTTTTGGGGGTTTTTTTTTATCGGTTTGAGTGCTGTTTTTGCTATAGGGCATGTGAGCTCACCAGAAAGAGAGACAGAAAGCAAGAGACCATCCCCTAGAGGGGATGGCCACACCGCAATCCCTTCTCCTCTCAGGATCTTGGGCACACATGCACACGTTCCTGGTGTGAGCTTAAGCCACCGGGTACAGGACTTGAACCGCAGTCGACTACATGGGAGTCCAGTGACATAGCCATTGTGCCAACTGCTGGTGCCACCTTGTCCACTTTCACACAGATAATAAAGTATCAGATTGGATAAGAGAGATATTCCAACGGCACTGAGGTCTCCTGCCTGCAGCTGAAGACAAGTTTCAGCATGAACCTTGAATATGTGGGTGGATTGTAACCTCATCTGACACACTGCAGGAAAGAGGGGTGACCTGCTTAAGCTAATAAATTGCCATCTTTCAGAATAACATTTTTTAATGCCTAAAAATCTACATCAGCCTACATTTTTCCCCCAGACTCATAAATTTTTGTTTATTTTTGTTTATGAAGTTTGGGGAGAAGAAAATGAAGAGGAGGGAGACAGGAAAAGAATCTTTAAATGGAATTAGTTGTTTGATTTATTTTCATAGAGATACATATACTATATTTTTTCAAAATGTTCTTCTATTGTTGAGACCACGCTGGACTCCCATGTAGCCGACCGTGGTTCGAGTCCCGGACTTGGTGGCTTAAACTCACGCCGGGCGCATGTGCATGTGTGCCCAAGATCCCGAGAGGAGAATGGAGGAGAAGGGATTGCAGCATGGCCATCCCCCCTGGGGAGTGATTTCTTGCTTTCTGTCTCTGTCTCTCTCTGTCTTTCTGGCAAGCGCACGTGCTCTATAGCAAAAACCTCTTAAAAAAACACATTCCTCTATTGTTGTTTGACTCATTTTAAGAAAGGAAGTGAGGGGTTTTCCCACCTAATTTTTTTTTTAATTTGCCAGAGGGAATGTGCACTCACTAGAGAGAAAGAACAGGAGAGGGAAGAAGCATCTCCCCCCTTCCCACATAAGGCACCATCACACCACAATCTTTTCTCCTCCATTTAACCCTGTTCTCAGGAATTAGGGCACAAATTCACACATGCCTACCATGTTTCTCAGACCACGAAAACTGAACAGTCAGCCATGGAAGAGCCAGCTCAATTAACTTCCAGGCTACAGACTAACCCCTCCCCCTAAATTTTATTGGCACTATTAATATATAGATTAAAATATGTTTACTGATGATGAAATATAAATTATACAAAAACAAAAAGAGATCAAAATCATGACTATCATCAATAAATTTCATGACTATTATAATGCCAATATTTTGGTAATTATTGTCATCCACTTATTAATGCAAATATAACTTTTTGTGTTTAAAAGACTATACATAAAATTTTGTAATTTTCTTCCTTCCACTTAGAAATGTATTAAGAGCATATTTTTAAAAAGATTTTTGCTGCAGGGTGTGTACACTCACCAGAGAGACAAAGAGAATGAGAAGTCATGCCCCTGATAGATGGCCATACCACAATCCCTTCTCTTCCATTCTCATCTCAGGATTTTGGACACACACACACATGGGACTGGCATGATTTTCAATGCACTGGGTCTGGGACTCAAACCATGGAGTCAGCCATGTGAGATTCAGACACCTTAATTTCTATACTACCTGCTGACCCCATCATCATTTTTTTTTTGTAAATGCTTCTCTTATTATTATTATTTTTTAATTTGCTATAGGGCATATGTGCTTGCCAGAAAGGGAGAGAGAGGAAGTGAGAAAGTACCCACCAAAGGGTTAACCACAGCCCAATCTCTTCTCTCCCATTCTTCTCTTGGGATTTTGAGCATACACATGCACCCAGCCTATTTTTTAAACCACTGGGTATAGGACTCAAACCACACAGTGGCTACGTGGAATCCAGTCACCTTAACCACTATGCCTCCTAAGTGACACCTGCTTCTTTTATTTTTAATAGTGTGTAGTATGGACAATTTATACAAACAACCTCCTGTTGAACTTTGAATTGCTTCCAACCTTTCACTATTTTATTTTTTTAATTTTATTTATTATTATCATAATCTTGTTTATTTACATATAATAAGATATATCTTTACAGTGTATTACATCTCTTTTTCCAGAATGAATACCATGCATATCAGTCAAGACACCTTTCACTATTTTAAACAATACATCAGTGACCATCTCTTAAACTAAAATCTTTAGCACATTCTCAGTTACTTTTTAAAGATAATTTTCAGGAAAGAGAAATGCCACATCAGCCGGTTTGTACATTCCAAAACTTGTGACACTTGGAGATTGAATGTGCCAGTCACTCAGCTCCTCCTCTCTGTCAGGCTCTAGCTAGCCGAGAACAGGCAGAAGGACCATGAGCCCACATGCAGAGCAAAGAGCACACTTAGCTGTGGCTCTCTGGTGAGGCTTGGACTGAGGGCATGGTTAGGTCATCCACTTCCCATGCCAACTCTTGGTCTATGACCTTAGGAGAAAGTGCTTCTGCAGAGCAGGTGCTGAGCTCTCTTACCCAATCTTCCAGGTGTCCACAGCCACCTCTCACACATTTGGCAATTGGCAGAAAGAGAATGCAAAAGAGTGTAGCAGGCCATTGTAGACCTAATTGTGCTTCCTATATAGGGCCAAAAAGCAACAAAGAGCCCACCATCAACATGTAGCAAATGGTACAATGTATGTTTTTGAAATTAAACTAGTAAATCATTATACGATAGGTGTCAGGCTCTCATAATCAAGTTACCAGTCTTGCTCTCTTGGGAGAATGGGATAAAAGAGGAGAAACAAGCAGACTAATTGCACCTCCTCAATAGAGAATGACTACTGGCTAAAGCAAGAGCCAAAGACAGGAGCATTCCTCCTATCCCATCATGCTGATTGACATGTTATTTTTCCAGGCCGCTTGGTTTACCATCCAAACTCAGATCACCATCAGGCAGCACCAAGATTAGTATGGGGACGGATCAGATGGCAGGGCAGCAATAAAATACAACACTCTGAAAAGGTTGACCCATGTAGGAAGGTTCTGGCTTTGCTCCAGAGACTTCCCTGAATGGGACCAGCAGTTAGCATAACGGCTATGTTGCTAGACTCCCATGTAGTCCACCGCGGTTCGTGTCCCGGACCCGGTGACTTAAAACTCACACCGGGCACGTGTGCGTGCATGCCCAAGATCCCAAGAGGAGAATGGAGGAGAAGGGATTGCTGTGTGGCCATCCCCCATGGGGGGGGTGATTTCTCGCTTTCTGTCTCTCTGTCTCTCTCTGTCTATCTGGCAAGCGCATGTGCCCTATAGCAAAAAAAAAAAAAAAAACTCTCTCCAGAGACTTCCCTGAAGACCCCAGCAATGGACTCCACATGTGAGCCCATGATCCAAGGCTGGAGTGGATCACATAGCCAAGATCGTGTTGAAAGTGGTTGTTTCTCTGTCTCCTTCACTTATGGAAGAAATAAATAAATAAGCTTGGGACCAGCAGTTAGCATAATGGCCACGTCGCTGGACTCACATGTAGTCAACCATGGTTCAAGTCCCAGACTCAGCAGCTTAAACTCATGCCCGGTGCGTGTGTGTGTGTGTGCCCAAGATCCTGAGAGGAGAATGGAGGAGAAAGGCTTGTGGCATGGCCATCCCCCCTGGGGGGTGATTTCTCGCTTTCTGTCTCTCCGTCTCCATCTTTCTGGTGAGCTCACACACCCTATAGCAAAAACTTCTCAAAAAATATAAATAAATAAATAAATAAACAAACAAAAAAATTAGGGTGTGGCTAGTGAGGTACTAGCCTCAGTCTCAAGTTTATGAAGGTGCCAAAAATTTAGTGAAATAAATAATATTTTAACACACTATTTAAAAATTAAAAACTAATGCAAAAATTTCATGGTGAACAAAACATCAGCTCTTTAGATAAGGACAGCATCCAGCCCTATGTTTGTATAACCCTGCCTCATTTACCTCATCTTAACCCTAGCCTGGAATCTGATCAAAATTGACCCAGAGGCTTGAAATTCATGCTGGTCTCATGTGCACGTGTGCCCCAAATCCCAGGAGGAGACTGGAGAAGGGACTGAGCATGGCCATCACCCCAGAGGATGATTTCTCACTTTCCTTCTTGCTGTCTCTGTCTCTCTGGATAGCACACATGCTCTATGGCAAAAGCCTTTAAAAAAAAAAAAAAAAGCATTCAATTTGCAGGTCAAAGTTTGCCACTTTTTCTTGGTTTTTTTGTTTGTTTGTTTTTTTGGTTGTTTTTTTGTTTTTTTTTTTTTTGAGAGGTTTGAGAGGTTTTTCATTATAGGGCGTGTGCGCTCACCAGACAGAGAGAGACATAGAGACAGAAACCGAGAAATCACCCCCCAGGGGGGATGGTCACGCTGCAATCCCTTCTCCTCCATTTTCCTCTCCGGATCTTGGGCACGAACGCACATGCACCTGGCGTGAGTTTTAAAGCCACTGGGTCCGGGTCACGAACCATGGTCAACTACGTGGGAGTCCAGCGACATAGCCATTACACTAACTGCTGGTTCCCTGTTTGTTTTTAATATTGCATTCAGATGCCACTTTTTTTGACATCCCCTTCAATTTTGTGTTGGAGGTAAGTGCCTTGCTCCCTCAGCCTGGTGCCACTCCTAAGGGGGGTGAGTTTTCTGAGTGAAACTCCTGCCTCTAAGAGGTTCTGTATCTTACATTATCCTTATGTTTCTTCCTGGAAACGGGAAAAGGATGAATCAGCTATTATCTCCAGATGACCCCAATGACTGTCCTGTTCTGACCTATTAAAAATGAACCATCAGGAACAGCAGCTGGTGTAATGGTTATATCGCTGGACTCCCATGTAGTCAACAGTGATTCAAGTCCCAGACCCGGTGTCTTAAACTCACATTGGGCGCATGTGTGTGCACGCCCAAGATCTCGAGAGGAGAATGTAGGAGAAGGGATTACGGCGTGGCCATCCCCCCTGGGGGGTGATTTCTCACCGTCTGTCTCTCTGTCTCTCTCTGTCTTTCTGGTGAGCTCACGGGCCCTATAGCAAAAACCTCTCCAAAATAAATAAATAAATATTAAAAAAAAAAAACTGTCCCCTTTTGAAAAAGCCACGTAATACACTGTAAAGTTATATGCAATTCAGTGTAATATAAACAAGATTATGATGATAATAAATAAATAAAATGAAATTAATAGCAATGTTAACAACAAAAAAAAAACTGTCAAGGCACATTGCAGCTTGGGTTGAATTTTAACTCCCTATTCTATGTCCAAATTATTGTCAATTTACTGTCCACCATGGCTCACAGGAAGAGTCTATGCAAATCTGTTTATTTCTTTTTCACAACATCACAGAAATATTCCAAATTGTACTATAGACTATAAAAATACTCGTCCTTATTTGGACATAAACTCCCTCTAATTGTTACTTGGAAGTCAAAAAAGAAATTACTTTCCCCCTCCACGTGTAAATTAGATACAAAATTCTCTCCTCCCAGATTTCCAATTTTGCTCAATCTCAGCACAAGGGTCTTGTTCAGATAAAATTCCAACAGATTCCCTCCACAGCACAAGGCCCCCTCAAGCCCAATTTCAACTCTTCTCTGGTCCTTCCTCAGAGAAGTACAGGCAAGACTTCTGGGGCCCTTCTAGAACTCCCTCCCTGAGGCCCCTCCTTCCAGACCCCAGGGACCTACTGTCACTCCTTCCAGGGAGGAGCATGCCATGGCCTGAGGCATCTTAGTAGTTAAGACCTGTTAGCCCCAGTTCCTGGAATTAAAGAGGCAAAATATGTGATAAAGTCCAATGGAGAAACTAAGCCAAAAAGATAAGCTGCAGAGGACAGAAGTCTGACTGCTTTTTCCTATTTCCAAAATCCCTTCCAGAGGGCCTGACGTGAGTCATGCCCACAAACATTAATGGATTATTTTTGCCCATTTGATAACAGGAGTCTTCCTAATCCTATCCTTGAAAACAGTATCTTGTGAGGTACACAAGCCCCCTTATCTCTGTACACTCTTTGCTGACGCCTTTGTGAAACACAGACCCCCTTTCCAATCACCAGCCTAAGAACTGTAAACTGCATGTGCTCATTTACGATTCTGGGCACATGCCTACAAGCCCCCGTCCCCACCCCCACCCCCTGCTTCCAGCCTTTTGGGGCTAGACCAAAGGAAAACTCTTTTCACTAAATTCCAAACCTTGTCTCTCACTCTCAAAATCAGATAAAAGGAAACCCTATATCTGATCACCCCTGGGAAAGGTATGTTAGCCTCCACTCTGGGCCTAGGTTACACACATTTGTGCTTAGAAATAAACTGCATTAATTATTATTTCTTCAGAGCTGGTTGTTTCCTTCAACACTGCTTTTGTTTCAAAAACTTAAGTTTTGCTTTTGCAATATTATTGCTCCATTCTTATCCCATCCCTCAGATAAACCGTAAGGGAATCAGGGATAAGTTGTTCAAAATGTGAAGAATAATATCCAGCCCAGTTTTCCAAAACAGGCAGCCACGCAGACACTCGGGCCATGACTGATCACACTTGATTTGCCAAAAAGACTTGGTACCTTGGTAATGGAGGATATTTCTAGCCAGGCCATCCTTGAAACAGAGGGATAGAAGAAAATCAAAAGTCAAAGTGTTCTTTAAAAACGATGATATGGTAGTTAAGGTGCTAGATCCCCCAAGGCCAACTCTGCAGTGTGAGTCCTGGACCTATTGACCTAAAGGACACGCCAGGTATGTATGCGTGCATGCCCAAAATCCTGAGAAGAGAATGGAGAAGAAAAGGATTGTGGTGTGGCCATCCCTCCTAGGAGGGCTTTGATTTCTCTTTCCCCCTCTGTCTCTCTCCCCTGAGCACACACACCCATAGCAAAAGAAAAAAAAGTTAGGGCTGGCTCTGTAGTACAGCCATTAGGAGCTGTGCAGAGAAAACTAGATCCCACATGGCCAACAGGATTCCAGTCCAGCTCTGTGGCTTAAAAAGCACACCAGGTGCATGGACATGCACACACGGGGCCCAGAATCCTGACAGGATGAAGAATTGAGGAAAAACTATCTCAGCATGGTCAGACCCTGTGGAGGGGTTCTTGCTTTCTTTTGTGTGTATGTACTCTCTCACATAAAAACAAAGAAAAATAATAGAAGGAAGGGAAAAAAAGTAAGAAAGGAAGTTAGAAATAGAGAGAGAGAAATGGAAAGAAAGAAAAGAAGTCACCCTATCTGGTTAGACTTCAGGGGAAAAGAAACATTAAAGTGGACGTTGTAAATGGAAAATGTCCCTTTTAGGATGTGAAGAAGAACCAAGTAATTCTTACAGCCTAGAGCTTGTACTTGTAGAAACAAGTGCAAGAGAAGCAGAAAATGATTCCGAATTCCAGAAGGCCTCAGCTCCAGTAGCTTCAAGCATGGGGGTGGGAGTGGTGGTTGTTAAGGGCATCGTCTCAGCTTGGACTTCCTAGTTCTATCCCACACTGAGAGGGCACCTCTGTCCCATGATCCCTTGAAAGTCAGAAATTCCAGAAATCCCCTCCTTCTGCCTGTGTGTATCTCTTTTTCAGATCGATGCGTTGACAGAAGTGGTGGCTGCTGTACAAGGGAAAATCGAAGTGTACCTGGATGGCGGGGTCCGAACTGGCAATGATGTGCTAAAGGCTCTGGCTCTTGGAGCTAAGTGTGTTTTTCTTGGGAGACCAGTCCTGTGGGGTCTTGCCTGCAAGGTGAGAGAGACAAAGCGAAAACCAGTGGGGATAAAGTAGAAGGAGAATGTGGGAGGGGAAGAGCG